AGAATAATTGGAAATATATCTTTTACCTGCCACCCTGTAATCTTTATCATAATAAAATTGACCTTATAAACATAATGCACCCAGGTGATACAAATAAGACAAGTCTGACCACACTACACATATGCCTGAAATTTGCGTTTAGGCATGAAAATGCTCGGTATTGACCTCAATATCCACACACACGTTTATTATTTATTATTTACTTTATTTATTTATCTGGATTAGTTTATTTTACTTATTTTTATTTTATTTTATTGATTTTTAATTATTCTTTTCAGTTCTCGGTTCTTAAGTTACGTAGTACATATTTGGTTTCGTGTCTGCATTTTCAAATGAGTTCTGATCGTTTATTTAGTAGTTTTTTTTGGTCTGGGAAAATAATTATAGCTAATTTTTCCCCAGGCAGCGTTTGCAGTTTCTGGGTGCCATATAAGCTGAAAAAAATCTTACCGTTAAAATAAGTTATCCACAATGAAAAAGACTACCGAAAATGAACCACTAACCCGTATGTATGAATAATCGAGAAAAAACACAACACATGTGGCCTGATGATTGCGTTTAACATGAAACATTCTGTCGCCTCTGAATATTGACTTCAATTTTCCCTTTTATATTTACATGCGCTATATCTCAGATATTGTGTTGTTTATTTCATAAATATAGCGCACCTTTTACCATATATATATATATATATATATATATATATATATATATATATATATATATATATATATATATATATATATATATATATATATATATATATATATATATATATATATATATATATATATATATATATATATATATATATATATATATATATATATATATAATGAAGTTATGTTACAGTTTTCTATTTAACTGAACCTCAATTCTTAACTGTTTAATTGTTGCAAGATTTTTAAGTTATTACTATGCGTATTGACGAAATTATTTACATGATTATTTGATCTTTTTATAGGTATAACTCATTCTTTCATTAACAATTGTTTTCTTTTTTAAGAATAAACATGATTTTTCCAGATACAAATCCCACGATTTATCCCATAGCTTCGGCGTGAAGATAGATTCATATGTATTTACATTGTTCGGACTATCATCCTTATCTTTGTTGCCATATCTATCACAAGTTTTCGGCCGTTGTACGCCCCGGCCTTCTTCGTTGAATTGAACCCTATATTTCGCTCGCTGGGGTAGACTGTTCTAGTTCCCAGTGCCATGTCTAATGGATGTCAGTTATCATTTATCTTCTGGTAATTCCCCTATCCAAGGTTTCCACCGCCATAAACATGTACTGAACTCACGCTCTTTGGGTCTTGTCACTGGATCTAACCAACGCCTTTATCCACTGGGCCATACGTCCTTGATGGGGCGTAAGAATTTGCACTATTAATATACAACTCATAATTGCTACTCTGCATAAATCAAAACTTTAAAAAAAACTTTATCAGATTTTCTGTTTCGGATCATTATCCTGGTTCGGACTTTGACTGGCAAGAGCAATCTGACTTCAAACGCCAACCTTATCATAGTCAGTTTAGGAAATACAATTTCTTTAAGTTTATTTATAGCTGAATCTATAGTCGTATCTTTGTTTTTACACTAAAAGTATATAAGCGAATAATATTTGCCATGTACAAATCCCAAGAATAAGTCTAGGAAGATGGTTACAGTATAAGAGTCACATTATGACAGCAGTTCTCCATTTACAACCTAATCCTGTTCTTATAAAGGCAGAGTATACCATTAGGAGTCACGTTCTTTCTTGAGTTATACATAGAACCGAACATTTTTCCAGCATCTTTAGCGATGAATCACCTGTATGAGTTCCACTTGAGGTCTGGATTGAGTTTCTGTCCGAATAGGCGCTCAAGCCATGGAGTCACCTCGTGGAAAGCATCAGCATTGATAAAAATTATGGTCCGATCGGTGATGATGGAATGTCACTAGTTTGGTTCTCGAGGCGTTGAATGTAACCAACCTGTTTTCTCCCACTACGCTGTTAAAGATAGGTCAGAGGCAACATGATCTGGCCGTCTAGGTTTTGCGTGGGGCCCTAATATACCGTTCTAACAAATGATCGGAGTGTAGTCTTTGGCAGACTGTTTATGTGAAATAGAAAGAGGATTGAACCGAGAACCGTATTTTGTGGGATGGATGCTTGATCTCTTGAGCCATAGATGTCTGGCTGTTAGCAAATACATTTAGGGACCTACCAATTAGGAAGAACGTAATACTTGACAAGACACTTACAGTTAGAGAGTTTTGTAACACTTGTGCAAAATCTTGTCAATAGCTTATTTATTCTTACGTTCAACCCCAGTTATTTGTGTTAAAATCAGCTAAAAATGGTGAAGTTGTAGCCTTGATGGCAAGGCAAGAAAAAAGAGAAAGGACATCATCAAAAAAAAAAAAAAAAAGCCTATTATGTTTTCATTAATAGTATAAATAGTCAACGTACGAGAAATTTATAAAGAGAAATTTATAAAGAGAAATAATTTAAAAAAAATAGTACCATTTTGACGAATACAGTCGTAAAACACCATATATATAAAATACATTTCGCTTATTGAAACTAGGTTTCGAAGTCATTCGGCCATTGATATTTTGACATTTCTTTTTGTTTTACCTATGGAACAATATTATTAAAACAGTATTATTCTAAATTTCATTAATTCTGGAGGATCACCGTTCTGTAATGCAAAACGTTCATTTCTAAATTCTACACAGGTTCTTTTCGGTTTAACATTTGGTAAAACTGTGGTCAATCCAACAAAACAGTAAAAAAAATATTCTGCCATTCCTCAGGTTTATATGTGAATCAGATGATCAAATTCCTGTATAAAAGTCATAATTCCTGAAAACGTTCGAAATCTTGAACATTATCCCACTTGCACTTTGAAATCTGTCAATTCATATCCGAGCTGTGATTTGGAACTCGCTATGGGCTCATATCTTCAACACCAATAAATCCACCTCAGAACCTCACGCCAAATATCATTCGTTGATTTCTTAACGTGTAAAACTAGTTTCCACTAGTAACGAGCTTTTTCCTTTGTTTCCCTCTACGTGAATTTAAGCGTGCAACGAGATTGATATCTAGGTCCCATTTACTGTTGAAACAGCTTCATGCAACAGCCACTTTTACTTCTATAGTTTATTTTCTTACCCTTTCCGCCTGTGGAACTCTTTTCAGTTTAATTTCTCTTCTGATAACTACATATTTTAAAAAGGTAAATGCAAAGTCAATCGCCATCTTCTGTCTTCTTGAATCCCGTTCATCATTTGTCCACTAATCTATCATCTCTATACCCAGTCTTCTCTTTAAATTTCATTCACTGTAGCCCCTGAGTACTAGTAAGGCATTTCTAAATTGCTTACGGGGAAATGATTTAAAAAAAAACACACACACACATACAAGCTTTCATCCATTCATTTTAGCCATTGACCGTAGCCTGACAATCGCTGGTAAAAAAAAGTCGGTATTAATGTATTATGAAGCCAATTTTATTCATTCGATTTTCTTTATGAATGGCTTTTAAAAGTATCCTGGAGATTAGTCTTAAATATTTTGCAATTTGAATTGGGAGTGACAACCGAGCACATAAGATATCCGTAAGTTGAAAAGAACAATTTTTATTACATCTTTCGTGATACGGTTCCCAGGTCCTCGATGTAATTTTCTCAACTTGCTTCTCAGACAAACATAGGATAAAACAAATTTCATAGTGTCCATGACCACAAGCAGATCATCTATGTAATTTTATCGATGAAGAACATTTTAAATGTTCTAAAGTCATCAAAATTATTTCCGCTTTCTAATCAACTTTACTATTAGTTTAATTCTCCAAACGAGAAACGAGGCTATTAATTCGGGACTTTAGTCTTTCCAACATTTCATACTATGTTTCTTGTTTGCCCAAAACGAACCAGGTTTAATCCTTACTGCTCAAGTAGATGTTGCTATTATTTAGCAAATAAGCTCCAGGAAAGTATTTATTTGATATATCGATGAACCATGACATTGTTAATAATGCGAGAGGAACTTTACTTTTCTTTTCCCTATATATTTTGATTTATTTACATTTTATTACACTTTCCTAGCTTATAAACTGTAACATTTTACTCCATTCATTCCTTTTGTTTTCGTCTGTATACCTTTCTACTTTTATTACTATTAGTCTATTTTAGTTCGGCTATATTTTCTTTTGAACTTCTTGAAAATGCCGTCAGGTTTCTTTCATCATTCTTCCATTAATTATTGGTTGATTCATTCCTTCCTTCATTAAATCACTTCTCACTTTATTTTTCTTCATGTGCCCGCGTCTCTCGCTCTTTGTTTCTCATATATATCCTTTTATGAAATGTCAATTTTTATTTGTTTTATCATGTTTCATTTTGCCATTTATTTTTTAAGTAAAACTTTTCTCGCCCAATCTTGTTTATCGTCGATCGGGCAAGTTTTCTTTCATATTTGCAGTCGCTTCCGTTTCTCTTGAACAGTTTCGCATAAATGCATTATATATAGATCACTTAGCTGTATAATATGTAGGTCAGAAATGTTTTGGTGTATTACCATGACTCGTGAGACCGACATATCGAAAAATCGTCTGAACGCCAACTCCAGCCGTACAGTGGAACAATAGGCTTTTGATGATAAGAATCGTGTCTAATTTTCATTTCCTTCTTTCTTCCATATCTCCCCTTTCTTTTTTTAATTCTAACAGCTTTTTTTTCTGGAATTACATACAAAATACATATATGTCTTTCGTGATATTTTTTCATTTCCAACATTATTTTTATCCAGATGATAATTTTACTACCCGAAAATGTCGTTCCTTTTATTACTTTTGTTCCTTTTTTTATTTTCTTGCACATTTTTTATTGTTTACATTGATTTTTTTAATTGGATTTTCTTTAATTTATACAAGAGCAATTACATCGCCTTAATGACATATTTCTATATTTTACTCTCATTTACGTATTTCCCTATCTAGACCATGTTACATCATTCCTTCTATCCTTCTTATCATATCTTTATGCCAAGAACATTTCTATCGACTTAAAATGAATATTACATTTCAGTCATGTATTTTCTATGATTATTATTTCCCTTCTATCTATCTATCTATCTATCTATCTATCTATCTATCTAACAAGAGAATCTATATGGCCTTAAAAACATTATATTTTTTCCGTTGTTTTCTATTTTTATCTAATCAGCCTTTCTTTCTTTTTTCTTTTTCTTTCTTTCTTCTTTCTTTCTTTTTCTTTTCTTTCATTCTTTTTTCTTTCCTTTTCTTTTTCCTTTCTTTTTCTTTCTTTTTTCGTTCTTTTTTCTTTTCTTTCTTTCTTTCTTTTTTCTTTCTTTTTTCGTTTTTTTCTTTTCTTTATTTCTTTTTTCTTTCTTTTTTCTTTTCTTTTCTTTTCTTTCTTTTTTCTTTCCTTTTCTTTCCTTTTCTTTTTTCTTTCTTCTTTCTTTCTTTTTTCTTTCCTTTTCTTTTATCTTTCTTTTTTCGTTCTTTTTTCTTTTCTTTCTTTCTTTTTTCTTTCTTTTTCTTTCTTTTTTCGTTCTTTTTTCTTTTCTTTCTTTCTATTTTCTTTCTTTTTTCTTTTCTTTCTTTCTTTTTTCTTTCCTTTTCTTTTTTCTTTCTTTTTTCTTTTCTTTCTTTCTTTTTTCTTTTCTTTCTTTTTCCTTTCTTTTTTCTTTTCTTTTTTTCTTTTTTCTTTTCTTTCTTTTTCCTTTTCTTTCTTTTTCCTTTTCCTTTTTTCTTTTTTCTTTTCTACAATTCTAATTACATCGACCTAATGACAACATCTGTATATTTTCTTTCTTTTCATACTGTTTCTTAACAAGCCAGTTTCACATTCTTCTTTGTTTCTCTTTTTCTAACAAAAGGTATTATATAGCCTTAAAGAAAATATCTATATATCTTCCAACTCTTCTTATGGTTTCTTAACCAACACGATTTGCCTTCCTTCATTCCTTCCTTCATTCATTCATTCATTCTTTCTTTCTTTCTTTCTTTAATTCTTTCCTTCTTCCTTTTGTTTCAATTTCCCGTTATTGTATCACAATCCATTTCCCTCACTCCTATCTATGGCACCTTTTCTGTTGTATCATCTCTTGACAGTATTTTTAAATATCTTTTACATTTTTGTTTACTTCCACTCAACTTTCTATCCAAAAGCGCAAGACATTTACATAACGCTTTCCTAAATCTAAAACTTATCCAATTTTTTCTTCTATAATTTTGTCAACTTTCCATTGCTTGTTTGCGTTTCCTCTTTGACTATACACCATAAATAACTTTATACGATCATGTCTGATTCAAAACCATAAAACTTTTCTTAAACGTGATTTATTTTGTAGTCTCGATTAAATATAAACCTATACAAGTTCTAGAAGAAGAAAATTTCCAGAAGAAAACCAGGATTTCTTTTTGTCTGAACTATAATAAATAACAAACATAATATGTTTCTTCTAAGATTTGTTGCTAGAATAACTAATGTTACACTATTTTGTATAGATTCATCGCGCACTTTTAGACAAGGCCCAGAAACAAAGTTTGGGCCTCAAAATCGTTGAAATTACTAAGAGTTTTTAATATAAGATCGTTCTATATTATTTTGACAAACAGAGAACTTATGCCGTAATAGAAGTTACCTCCATAATATATCTATATAAGGCAAGATATATAATTTCTAAATTTTCTTTTGTTATGAGGCAAAGACCAATTTCATCTCTAACTCTAGAAATATCTACATAGAGCTAACAATGAGAAAGACATTTGAGAAATACATGTATACTGTTTGTAATCCTAATAATAATAATAATTATAATAATATAGCGTTTATGTTTGCTGCGCTGGACAAATGCTCGCCGCTAACTAGAAATCGCAAATCATACCTACTGAAAAATTATGTCAACCCTCAAATGTTGCAGATTCTTTAAAAAATATCCAGAAAGGATTGACCATCTTGTATCAGGTTGCGTGGTATTAGCCCGCACTGAATATAAAACTCGGTATGATGGAGTGGACAAATACCTGCACTGGAAATTATTCAACTTTTAACAGGAATAATAATTCAAGAAACTTGTATGAGCATCACTCAGACCCGATTAAAGAGATAGAACCTGTAACAATTTTATGGGACGTTACAATACACATAGACATAACAATCAAAGCTAATCGTCCATACACCTTGATCAAAGACTACTAGAACATAATGTTTTTTTTTTGCCTTCATTCATTCCTTCCTTCCTTCCTTCCTTCCTTCATTCATTCTTTCTTTCTTTCTTTCTTTAATTCTTTCCTTCTTCCTTTTGTTTCAATTTCCCGTTATTGTATCAAAATCCATTTTCCTCACTCCTATCTATGGCACCTTTTCTGTTGTATCATCTCTTGACAGTATTTTTACATATTTTTTACATTTTTGTTTACTTCCACTCAACTTTCTATCCAAAAGCGCAAGACATTTACATAACGCTTTCCTAAATCTAAAACATGGTGACATGGCAGACTCTGTGGATTGTAGTTCATCTTTGCAGATCTTAAAAAAAAAACAAAAAAAAACAATATACAAGGATCTTGAAATGGAAATTTAAAAAATGTAGAACATAAGGACGTCAATAATTCCAGTTGTAGGTGGATCCCTCAGGCTGATTGAGAAAGGGTCCGATAGACTCATTGAAAGGATTTTTGGTAGCTCATGCCTTAAAAAATTACAAAAAATATACTCACAAGTACTGTTCACACATTACGAAGAGAGCTTTATCTGTGTAAAATGTGGGTGATCTTAGTTGGTTATTTTTTTATTAGAAAACATCATGATGTCATTTCTGTCCCTTGGTCTCTGGTTGGGACCAGGACGGACATGTGTATAGAACAGACATTAAAGAAAATAATAATAATAATAATAATAATAATAATAATAATAATAATAATAATAATTCAGGTGACTTACATTTTAAGTGTTTAAATAATTCAGTACAGTTATGGAGTTTATACAGAATCTTGTGATATTTTATTTAACACTGTCAAATATTTTGTATTTTTGTAACAGATCAGAAGATAAAACTTCTTACAGAGGCTAAAAATATAAAGTTTATAGCTAAGAATTAACTAGAATATTTAATATTTTCTAAAGAAAAGAAAAAAAACATTTTAAACTAATAATACGTTTATTTTACGTTTCCCTCCAATGGAAACAAACTCATATTTTTCTACTAAAGTATGATTGAATTTCGTCAAGTTTAAACATGAATTAATATATATATACACACACACACACACACACACACACACACATATATATATATATATATATATATATAGATAGATATATAGATAGATATATATATATATATATATATCGCGAGAAACATTACACTATTTATATAAGATTGGGATATAGTGACATAAGTGAGTCTTACGTGAATTTCTTTAAAGAATAAATGAGATTAAGAAAAAAAGCCATTTTATCGTTGTTTATGCTCAAATAGTTGTATTATACATAATCAAAAGCTCCATTATAAGCCCATTTATTAAAACAGCGCGAACGCAAAATATTTCAAAAGAATGTATAAAACCTTTTTGTTTTTTTATTCATAAATCCAACACAATGTCGAGAGATATTCATGATGGAGAGTAAGCATATAATTTGTAATGCGGTATGAGATATGGATGAAAAAGTTAACATGTTGTAGGGATTATGACGATAAGTTAGAGAACGAATGCCCTCTTACTTGAAGACGTTAGGATTAAAATATTCCGTTTGACACTCATGTGTATGTCTGTTCCACAAATGGGCCCTATTGAGGCTACCTTATTGAAACATCCTTCTTCATGTTGAATATGGAGGAACTAAGTGGGACTCCATTTCGTTGAATTAGGAAGTCGTTTAGTACGTGTAAAGTCTAAACAAGTGAAAGCCGATCATGGATTGCGGCTGAAGATTTAGTATGAAAATAGCTATGAAGAATCAGCAATCTTGCGAGGTATCCTCTGTGGAAATGTTCCTATATCATGGAAAATACTTCATCTCCAGTAAGACAGTGCAAACGATTTTGAACGCTATTTTCCGTCTTATAAATGTCTCTATTGTATTTTTAACTTTATGCTCATGTTTGACTTTGCCATGTCCAAATCCTAGTTCGCATCTCGGGGTCTTGCGCTAACTGACAACCGTACATTTTGATTTCTTAAAATTGATACTAAGTCTTTTCTTCCTACTTCTATTTAGTACTTTGTCAGAGAGTTGCTGCCGTGTTTTCCCTCTGGCTGTTGATAAAAATACCTACCGAAGAACTGGGAAAGTAAATGGTTATGACCAGTACTAATAACAACTGGTGCAAATAAGAACTGTCTAGGTATCCTTAGATGCACGACCGAGTGAATTAATGGTTTAAGAATATGTACATTTTATTTATTTATTAATTATAACAGAGGAGGCACGCTGGAGTAATGGATAGCGGCTTGAATTGATGAATCGGAGAGCTGGGTTCGAATTCCAGTCGAATCCATTACATTCACTTACGTGCTAATACCCTTGGTAAAGGTGGGAATCTTCTTCTTTTCCCTCCATAGCAGGACAGATTGGGTTCTGTAGCCATCGATTGTCTAGGAGAAGGAAAACTCTGAATTCAAAACCTGCGGATGGTCGTTTGGGGGACCTTGTGCTCCGGGTCTCTGTAATCGGCCCTTCAAAAAGTGTGGATGGTCCTGCACGAAACCTTCACCACTATAATCAAATCTCATGTGCTATACATGCCGGTTGGTAACCGCTTGTGAATTCCAAATTCTCATGAAACTCCAATATTGGAGCCGACTCAACCCACCTCGGGTGAATGCTGCTACAAGAACAAGAGAAGAAGGACATTTTATAACACGGTCAATGCCAGTGTCGGCAAGAATGCCGTTGATTCGACGCTGGTTTCATACATAGCAAAAACGATAGACAACTCATCTGTGCAAATACTATATAAAAAGATCTTATTTTCTGATATGATAGAAGATATTAGAGACTGTAGTCAGAATAATTGGTGCGGACAAATTGAAATTTTTATGGATTCGGTGGGAATGCAGGAAGTTGGGAAATACGAGAGAGAAACTCCTGAAATGCAATGATTATATCTATCTGACTTTCTGTGATGACGATTTATCATTATAAACCCTGGGAACTCTTATTCACAGTTTTTCTGCCTTTATCAAAACATTTCGGTTGTTGTACCTTCCATCTTCATCATGTATATTTCAATCCGGGTATCCTACAGGTTATTCAACATACGCCTGATGATGGTCGCGGGACACAGCAGCCGAAACGTTGTGATAAAAAGAAGGAAGATGAGTGTAATAGTCCACATGTAAACAGTGCAAATAACAATAGCTTTTTCTAAAGGTTTTATATGACTAGTGATGGCATTTCGCTTTTTTATATTATGACTGTCTCAACAAACATAACAAAATTAGTGTTTAATATTAGCTCTTAATTATTCGAAAAGGCTTGTAGCAATATTAAAAAAAATAACACATCCTGTGATCCTCTATAGAATGGATTTTATGTGAGTTGACCTATATTTCTTTTTAAGAAAAAAAAGATACACGAATTATTGATTATTGTTGAATAAGAAATATTGAAGTAAACAAAGCTATCAATGATATTTTAGTCTCGATTAAGAATAAAAGAAAGACTTTCAAAGTTTCAACAGTATAATGCTTTGTATAAATCCCAATCTCTATAAAAAGAAACATTCGTCACGAGCCGCGTGAGTCATTAGGCTATCAGTGACACCACAGATACTGCACCTATAGCAGGAGTGTTGTGTCTAATGACGAGAGAGTCTGACGAAG